ATACTTTAAAGATGTTGCTCCACTACTGTCTTCTCACTTAAATTATTTCTAACAATAAAACTGATATCTTACTTAACCTTGCTTCTTTGTACAAATCATGTCTTTTTTCTCTCATAATTTTTAAGATTTTATCACTAGTTTTGAGCGATTATGTGCCTTGGTACAGTTTTCTTCATGTTTCTTGTGCTTGAGGTTCACTTGGTTCCTTGAATGTGTGTTTATAGTTGTCATCAAGTTTGCAAAGTTTTCCATCATTATTTCTTCAAGTTTTTCTCTCTCCTTGTTTCCTCTTGTCCCGCAGCTTACTCTCATTTTGTTTTTATGCTCTTTTCACTGGGGACGGGAGTGGAAAAAAGATTCTTTTTTCTTTCTGTTTCATTCCAGATAGTTTCCATTGCTATGCCTTCAAGTTCACTAATCTTTTCTTCTATAATGTATAATCTGCCATTAATCCCATCTAGTGTATTTTTCATCTCAGACATAGTAGTTTTCAACTCTGTAAGTTTGATTTGTGACTTTTAAAAAATATCTTCCACATCTCTACTTAACTTTTTAAACCTAAGAAATATAGTTATAACTGTTTTAATGTCCTTATCTGGTAATTTTAATATCCGTGCCAGTTACAGATTGGTCTCAATTTATTATTCTCCTCATTATGGGTCATTGTCTTCTCACTTCTTTGCATACCTGGTCATCTTTGACTGGATGCTAGACATTGTGAATCTTAACTTTTTGGGTGCTGGGTATTTCTGGATTTCCATAACGCTCCTTAAGTTTTGTTATGCTACTTGGAAATAGTTTGATCCCTTCAGGTCTTGCTTTTATGACTTGTTAGGTGGGTCTGAAGTAGTGTTAATGCTTGGGCTAATTGTTACCCACTATTGAGGAAAATCTTCCTAAGTACTCTACACAGACAATATAAAATATGAATTTTTAATGTTTCCAATCTGGCTAGTGAGAACATGCACTATTCCCAGCCCTATGGGAGTGCCAGGAACTGTTACTCTATTCCTTTCACATGGTTCTTTCCTGGACTCAGATACTTTCCTCACATATCTGGACTTATCCATATTCTGCTCAATAGTCAAGGGGACTCATTGCAGATCCCCAAGGTTCTCTCTCTCAGCAGCTCTCTCTTCTCCCTGATATTCTGTCCTATGGGCTCCAGCTGTCATCATCTCCCTGAATGCTCAGCTCCATTTCCTCAACTCGGGAAGTCTGCTGGACTCCACCTCCGAGTTCTCCCTGTGTCGCAGCCTAGGAACTCTCTCAAGGCATTAGCTAGGGCAACTGTACACCTCACATTATTTGTTTGCCATCTCTCAGGGATCCCTGTCCTTTGTTGTCTCCTCTCCAATGTCTTAAAAACCACTGTTAAGTGTATTTTGTCTGTTTTTTCCTTGTTTCGCATGGGAGGGGAAATCCAGTCCCATTACTCCATGTTGACTGGAAGCAGCTGTTGGTCACTAGGTTTGTAACACAGTAGACTAATGTTTTTACCACTAAGACAGTAGTGCTAAGAAACAGAGAAACAGAAGTTTCCTCTTATAACATTTATACAGTACTTAGGATCATATTACCTATAAACTTAAGAGCATCACAGTATATTCTCACCTATCAAACAAGGCCAAAAGTGTCAGTCTGTCAAAGTTAATGCCGATCCACAGTTGGGGTAGGATCCAGAAGCGATAATAGTGTTTAACCTTTTGGGCAGCTTCTTCTGTTGGACCATAAGTAGCTGCCAAGTCAGGGCTTAGATCAATGTCCTGTTGCTCCAACAAATCTGTATCAATGGTCAATAGTCTATTCAATCGAATCTGTGGGAGAGAGAGCTAAAAGAAAGTCAGCATTGAAAGGCTTAAAATGTCTTCAGGCAAATCACAAATTCAAGAGTTACTCAATCAGCTTGTGAATTATCTAAGCCCCTTAATTCCCTACTCTAGTCCACTCCTTTTGAATATGTTATGATCATTAGAAACTAGAGAAGGTAACAATAGGAAGTGAACTAAAGCAAAGTAAATTAATCAATAGATCTTTTGGAAAGGTTTTGTTAGGGAAATGTTTGAAATCTTAAGGTCTCATAATTGTATAGCTAGTGAATCCATTAAAATCATTTATAGTGAATCGTTAGTAGTTTCTCTTCTCCCTGTCCCATTTATGGTCTTTTCTCATTGAGCTATGAACCTCATTAGTGTCAAATCTGAGCTGTGCTACATTAGATCCAATCCCTTCAACTCTCATTTCTTCCCACAGTCCCTTACCATTGCTGTAATTTAGTTGTTTTCAAATCCCTCACCCTCTTTGTTTGGGCAGGCTGCTCACCTGAGGCTATATAAAAAATTACTGCACTACATTTCTTTTAGCTTTAACTCATCCATGCACCAGTTCACCAGTCTCCTCTTCCTCTGAAAGCATCAAAAGTTTACTGCATCCGGCATAGTACTAAGTAGCATTTTGATATCTCAAGGCTCTTACACCGTTTAAAAGCAGAAAACAGTAATATAATCATCTTCCCATTTTTGCTTTTCTATGGAGTTTCCAGTAATACACTATAGCAAAAAAGTAGGGAGAGTCTTTACTTTTCAAACACATACATGAGTATTGTCAAGAAAATTTGCTTCTTGTATATAACATAGCCATTTCTATCTCTAAGCACTGACGAATATTTCTCAAAACACTTTTTTTCTTATACTCTATGCCAGGGTTCCTCAACTTTGGCACTGCAGACATTTTGGGCCAGATAATTCTTTCTTGTG